AAAATCATGAATAAGTTGGGAACTGTAAGTCACAGTAATTCAATAAAAGAGAAAAAAGAAAACCAAAAACTTCAAAGAAGCCTGTTCAGACTGGGTATTGCCAAAGGCTGTAACCCATGGCTGCAGTACCCCTGAATGAGGGGATAAGGAAGTTCCTAATGCAAGCGGGAATGTTTAGTTTGCTGACAAGGCCCCCACACTTGCAGGCCATCTCCCTTTATGCATTGTTTTTGGTTCCAATAGTTTTCAAATTTGCAATAGGAAAGAATCTGACCTCATGGCATTCTTCTCAGACTCTTTAGGGATATGGCCTAAGCTTTGTTGCACAGTGGGGACACCACTGTGATCACACCCCTTTGTTGGGGATCTGCCATCTGACCTCAGTGCCATGGGTGCTTCCCTCTGCTTGGAGCTGTTGGTCGTAAGATCTTCCCGGGTGATTGATAAGCTGCAGTGTCTACTTGTTACTCTCTGTGGTGTGATGCACTAGATTTAGTACACTAGGAGTCTCTGTCCTGGACTAGGCAGCTAAATGAGCCTTGGTGCCTTGACTAAGGAATTCAGAATTTAGTTTTGGAATTTATGGGAGGCAGTAAGATGGCTTTCAGGAGGTAATAAATATTTTCTTACATGAATTATGGCTCAAATAGATCGCCTGCACATGTTCTCTACTATTGCATTATTTTTTTGCATTAACTTTGAATGAACAATTTTGTGGGACCCTAAGAATACACCAATATCTCCTTCAAATAGTCTTTCAGTACATTAAATCTTGAAAAATAAATTAATATCTAGTTCTGGATTCTAAATAATAATAAGCATTGTAATAAAACTAATCAAAAATATTTCATAAATTCTAGTAGGTATAAGCAAATAAGAGAAATGAAAGAGGTAACATTTTATTTTAATGGTAAACTTTCATGCTGACTATAACAGTATAATGGAAATGTAACATAAACTCATTTTTATATAAATTTGTTTCCATTTAAGATATCAATACACACAGAAAACATGTCCTTTCAACACCTGTCCCTTGGTTGTCCTTTTACCTTTATCATTCTGTTTTATGCTTGGGCCATGACCTAAATTGGAACACAAACTTTATATCAGAACTTTCCAAACTTATTTGTCCTGCCAGCCCCTTTCCAGAAAAAAACATTTCTTAGTACCCAGAGATCCCCTGGAAACCTACCTTATTTAAATGCAACAGCAGAAAGTGCTCCGCAAATGCAGCGAGTTGTCCTAATGCTCCCTGAGGGGTGGCTCTGTCCCCATGGAAAGCACAGCTTAATAACATGAGTTAGAGCAGTGCTCAAGAAAATGAATTCTGTTGGTAAGAAGCATCTGAACTACTGATGGTGTGATCAAGACACTATGTGTAAAAAGAAAGGGATCTCAGACTATGCCTCATAAAATAGTAGTTACAACACTGAAACCTCACTTTAAGAGACACATGGCTATAAAATCACATCCATAAAGTATAGAAGTATGGTTTTCAGGGGCTTAAGACATTGAATCATAAAAATGAATCTTAAGTGGAGTGGTTGAAATAGCTTTATGGTGACAGGTGGCCTAGACATGTATTTCTCCCCGCTAACATCTGCTTATCTCATGACAAATTCCTCAATGTGTGGCATATATTATAATCAAAACACTGAACACAATCTTGAATCAGTATTGTAATGTCATAGTTATTTTATTTTAATTTGGTTTGGGGGCCCACCTAATGGTTCTCTGGGCTTACTCCTGCTTCTGTGCTCAGGAATCACTCCTATAGGGCTTGGGGGACCATATGGGTGCTGGGGATTAAATCTGGGTGGGTCACATGCAAAGCATGTGCCCTACCCATTGTACTATCTCTCTGGTCCCATAGCTATTTTAGTGGTGGTAGCAAACACACACACATACACACAGACATCTGAGTAGCAAGATTGAAGTGTGAATATGGCACAGGCAAGGAAACCATATATATATACATATATATATACATATATACATACAGATATATGTATAATATAGTGGTTCTTAGAGAACATTAAAATAATTTTAATACGTAAACTTTTTGTTTTCTTTTAAAAATAGCCCTCAAATAAAAAATAACTATGGTATGTGCAAGGACTAGAGGATAGAGTTAGGCCCATGCTCTGTACTGATAGCTACGAAGATGCTCAGTAATACTGTGTCTGTGTAACATGGGATCATATGGAAAAAACTGGCACTGCCTACATTAAGTATAGGAAATAAAAAGAAATGATTACATGAAACCTTTCATAAGACCTAGGGAGAGGAATGGGCTGACATAAAGCTTCTGGTTTTGAACATTTAAACAGAACCTGCTAATCTTTCATTATTATTTTCTTAGAAGACAAATAAAATATTGGATTTGTCTGAAGGAAACTTAGATAACACAGAATAAAAAATTAATTTTAGGTTTCTCTTGTGAGAACAAATGTTAACTTGACATTGAAGCCTTTCTTTCCTTGAAGAATGATGAGCTACCTAAATATATCCCATAAAGCTCTTTGGTAACCAAAACAGAAAAATGAAGGTAAGAATCATCCTATGTAGGCTCATACACTCTACTCTATTCACAAATTTACGCCATTATAAGAGGAATTATATCAGTATGTTGTATACAACTCTTGGAAACTCCAGCAACACAAAGATTGTGGGCTGACTTCAGGCTTATTTAGATTCAGGCCAGTGGTAACTTGAGTTACAAGTGTTTTCATATTGAACAAGTTAATTTTACTTGGATTCTGTGCATTTCTGAGAACTTGAGAATTAACTTGAGAATTCAGAAGAATATTTCTATGTGTACTTTTGGGGATGGATTAACCTCATAAAGTACATAATTCTAATAATTATCAGTGACAGAAGGGATGAATAAATTATGCTTCAGGCACAGCAAAATTAACAGTAAAAATGGCTTGCATAACTGTTTCTTAATGCATGTGCCTATGTAAATTTTAATATTCTGTACAACTGATATGATCTTGAAAGACTCCCTCTGAGTTATTAATCCTGAACTATACCAATGCCTGCTTTGGGACAAAGAATAAAATAGAATTTAAATGCTGCAGATGTCATGATGTTTTGAAAAGCTTCTTTAATTTAAGCAGAGAGTTATGATGTGAATTGCAAATTGTAACAGCTTGGATGAGTGAGAAATATCAATGCCAGGTTCAGACTTTACACCAGAATGCAAAGAGTAAGCTTCGGATTCATGAAATTAAAGCCAAAGTGATCTCATTCTCTCTCCTCGTTGTGAGCATAGCATTGAGGCTGCTTAGTGATGAGGTGTTTGCTTTAAACAAATAATATTACAGAAAGATTGGCTTGGAAATTCTAATAAAGGGTAGACAGTCCACATCTTATACCATTCCTTTTGGAGTCTAACAAGTTCCTGAAAATCACAGCCCTTAACTTCCTTTCATGAGTTAGTACTCTAATTTATCATAGTATAGACCATCAAAAGAAGTTTCTATTTACTTAGAATATTTTACTGAAGGGGAAAACATTTTTTTAAAGCTCTCTATATTGAAATGTATGTTTGAGAACAAGTTTATTACATCTTTTCACTTTAGCCTGAATGTAGGACTCATTAAGTGTGAATAAAATTTGCCAGGAGATGGAAATGACAGACGCAAGGATAATCTCTTCGGTATTATCTTTTATCCTCCCTAAAGTATTGGGCATGTGTTCTGCACAATGAATTTATAGTTATCAAATTGTTGGAAAGGGCAGGGGGGAATTTCTATCTCATAAACTCTTCCCATAAATGTAGACCAAAAAACCACACAGTGCTATTTATCTGGGCACAGGCCTGAGTGCTCACAGAAAGCTCCTATTTACCCCTGAGTATGACCATCTCCTAACACATATTTATCCTGAGAAATGACTATATACAAAACATGGGGCAAGTTCCTTCAATATGATTGATTTAGGTGAACAGATCCTACCTTTGACTGTGTCACACAGTTTTCATATGAAAATCTTCAGAACTGTATTCACAAACATGACAGCTAATGTTCAGAGTTTTCAGGTAGCAGTATAAGGGTAAATTGAGGAAAAAAGTGGAAATAGTAGGGCTGCCCTTACATCTTTTCCCTCAATAATGTTCATTTGACTTCTTTACTATTCATCATTAACACCTGCATTTCATGGTAGTTTGTATATACGTGTGAGTATGACAGTGTATCCACACATGAGTGTGTCTAAGACCTAGGGTCATGGAATTCTGATAGCTAGCACAAATGAAGGAACTTCAATTCTGGGTGCCTCATATGAGGTGAAGGTACTGAATTAAAAGTCTACTGCTATTTCTATGCACCTGCATGTTTTATAGTTTCTCTAGGACATTTTTTGTTGTTGCTTTATCGACCATTTCCTGAAAACATTTCACAGATTCTTTCCATGAAGTTAGGGCATAACATTAGTGTTATCTCTGTGTGTGTGTTTGTATTTATAAGGCATTGCTCTGGTAAGAGGCAGATTTTGTACTTTCGTTTCTTCTTTGAACACTATCCCAGGTGCTCTCTGCTAGACCATCACCTGCTTGCTCTTACGGCTCTCTTGAATATCCCTCCAAAGCTCCTGTCTTCACTTCTAGCAAGTTCTTTCTAAGAATGTTTGGTGCACCATTTTTCTGATGCTTAGACAAGAAGAAGGAAATTACCACTTTACTACTAACATAGGAACATAATGATTCATACGTTATGCACAAAAAAAGTGAAGAAACCTCAGGAGATCCGAACAATTCCCAGCATAAACTGATGTTCACAAATATAGTCTTATCTAACTTTGGTTGGAATGTGCTCTGCAAACATGATGCTGCCAACGCAGCCTGTAGCACCGACGGAATATGGTCTGCAGCACTGGACAGCAGCCCATCAACTGTCTGACGTGGGAAACTCTTGAGAAGCATCAGTCGTCCTAGTGTGAGAGAAAGGCCCTGGCAGCCTGTGTTTTCACACTATTTACATGGGCCAGAGGCCAAGCAGAAAGCTGCCTAGGACTTGAATGCATCTGCCTTACTTTTTTGTCTCCAAGTGGCACATATTTCTTTAAAAAACAGTTAATAAAAAATAATCTTAGCAGACTGCTGCAGGTAATGTGGAACAGTCTCATTGTGAATGAGAAGAGTATCCCTGTCTGGGGGACAGAGTGGGAGGCCGTGGCAGGGGCTGCTCTATCTCTAGGAGAACTTCTTCCTGATGCCAGCCAGTTCTCTCTGAAGTTCCATGAACTTGGGACGGTTTTCAGGGTTATAATCCCAACACCTTAACATAATTTTAAAAATTTCATCTGGACAATTCTGTGGGGCTGACATTCGGTAACCTGAAGACCCAAAAGAAGAAGAGGAAATAATCAGAATGGAGAAGAGAAATACATGATCACAAAAGACATTATGACAGCTGTGGATTTTAGTGCCTTAAGTGCAGATATACTAGAAACCAAAATCCCCAAATTCCATTACAGGGCCAACTGTTTTTTGTTTTTATCCCTCTCTACAAGTGAATCAGAATTCAAAATTATAAGGTCATAGAATTACATTTTAATTCACAGATCCCATTTTATGTTTGTTCATTTCTCAGAAAAATGAAGGTCAGATTCAGCACAGGAATGTGCTTATTTTAGTGGCCCTAAATACTGACTTTTAGAGTTTCGTTTTAGAGGCTGTGGGCAATTTGAAAAGTCATCTCTATAGCCTAGGCTATGAATTGTGGAATCAAATTATATAGACACTATTTCAAAGGTGAAATAAAAATAAATGCATCAAACTCCCTTACAATCCAGAAAAAATTCTGAAGTTTCCATTTTCTAGTGATGTGGCAGCTGTGTGCTGGAAGAGGGTATGGGCCTGGCTGCCTCAGGTTGTACAAAATCTGGAGGTACAAGGGAAGCAAGATATTTATCCTCCTTAATCTTGTCCTAGGCCAGGCCCCCTCAGAAACCCACTACAAGGGCACTGTCATGTGGGAAAAGCACGTTGTTCTTTTGGCAGCTGAGATGCTGCACGTGCAAGCGATACCTTCCCAGCTCTGAGGTGGGGCTGCACTCAGGTTTCCTTACAATGTTACACAGTTGGCAAAAAATTAACTGTCTTTTCTTTAAATTGTCTTCCCTTGAAGTTCCAACAGTCCTGAAGTGGCTGTTTCACAATTGTGGCGCTGGCACCCCAACCCCTCCCACATGGCGCCAAGACTCCGCACCACTGCCATGCTCCCAGGGTCCATTCCCACCCCAGACTCCTCAGCTCCCAGTACTGCGGGCTATTTCTCAGGGTTGTTCCCAGTACCGGTTTCCCGGTCCTGTTCTCTGTTTCTGTATACTCTGAGCATCAATGAGGTCATCTGGCATTTCTCTTTACGCTCTCAGCACTTCTCTCAGTGTGATGCCCTCCAATTCCATCCAGCACGAGTTCCTCCCGAGGACTACACTGCACTTTATAATGGTGTTAATGCTGTATGTCATACTACTCAAGACTGGAGTAGTATTCCTCACCCTCCTACTTTCCTTGAAGGTGGTGAAGAACAGAACCTTGCACCTGTCCTGTCAGGCAGCAGGTGTGGAAGAAAAGTTAGTGGCTTCCTATTTTAAAGTGTTGGATTCCAGCCTGTAAGCGCTTTTGTCTAACACGAGAGTCATGCCATCCACGGGCTCTGGGGAGATTCATCAACACCTCAGCTCTATCCATGCACTAAATAGGAAGTGCCTTCTACCCCACAAACAGCGAACGCCTCTGCAGTTGGACGTCAGTGCGGCAGATACTCGTTTGGAGCTCACCTCTTTCCACTTGCTCCCGGGCTTGCTGGTTTGTCATTCCAGGGTATGGGCAGACCCCGAGGCTGAACGTCTCCCAGAGGAGGATGCCAAAGCTCCACACATCACTCTCAGAACTGTATCTCCCTGCGAGGCGGACAAAATCATTACCACGTGAGTGGGGACACAGAAAACCATGTCCAGTTTGAATGTCCATCAGTTGCATACAAACACATTTAAATTTACCAAGGAACTCAGTAACTAGTGATTTTACTCCCTTTGCTGGCCTCTAGGACTTCCAATATTATCCATTCAACGAAAAATTTCTAGGACTCTAGTTTATGCAGATCTGCTTCTAGATCACTTTCCTCCATGCAGAACTAATCTTCAGTCAGCATGGTGGAAGCTCACTTTTCTGTGGTATCTTAATGAGATGGATGGTTAATAAAAAGAAGATGCAAGTTTGTATCAAAGCCTATGAGATTAAATAAGTTGAATTTCTGTAATTTTGTCTTCTTGTATCATTTTCTTTCTTTCAATTTACAAACACGCTTAAAGCAATAAGAAAAGTTTCTTAACTTCAACTTCTCTTTTTTTACCCATTACTCTTTACAGATATTCTTAAATGTTCAAAGGTCTCACTTTCTCCACTTATGGCTTCATTTATGGATATTATATTTTTCCCCGTGTGTTTAGAATAGGGTTGAAACTAGCATAGTTGGCTGATGAAAACATTTTACATCTTTATTAAAAAATTATCTGGTGTCTCTTTTTTTTTTCTTGTGAAAACATCTTGGTTGCATATGCCTCATGGAGCTGGATGAGCTAAGTTCTTGAAATCCTTTTCGGAAGTCTAGAGAAACACAGAGACCAACACACAATTCCTTTTGATCAATGTGAAATTGACAAAGGGAAGCAGAAAAACACCTTCCATTTCCAAGAGACCAAGAAATTCCATGATTAATTTCCTCAACGTGCTTGTTTTTGTTTAATTATGCCTCTGACTTGTACAGTTTAACTGCTGGAGCGATAGCACAGCGGTAGGGTGTTCGCCTTACAAGCGGCCAACATGGCCGACCCGAGTTTGATTCCTCCGAGTTCGATTCCTCTGCCCCTCTCGGAGAGCCCGGCAAGCTACCGAGAGTATTCGATATGCCAGACACAGTAACAACCAAGTCTCCAATGGAGACGTTACTGGGCCCGCTCGAGCAAATCGACGATCAATGGGAGGGCCTTTACCTTTACCTTTACCTTTTTTGGTGTGGTGTTAGAGGCTTCTGGAATGATTCCATTTTCTATCTTCCATGGAGGTTCCTGCCTTAATTGCAGTTCCAGAAGCCATGAAGAGTCCTGTGAGAGGACTTTCTCTCTCTCTCACTGCACCTGTGTGTGTGTGTGTGTGGGGGGGGTCCTCATGCCAGCTACGAGCACACTCACTGAGCACCTTCAGCTGCGAATCATGCTTTCTCTGCAGACAGTATTTATGACATTCACTATGCTTTTCACTGGAGGGTTTGTTCTTCTTGTCCCCATATTAACTCTTTGAATGTTTATCATCTAATAATTTAATACCTTTCAGGTGAATTCTTTGTGAAAGTACAAAATATACGGAATCTATTCCACCTCCCATACTTTTTTTTGGTAAGATGCTGTCTAAGAGATCAAGTAGGCATAAGCCAACCTAATTCCCTAACACTGACATCTGATCTTGGTTCTGCTGACTAAATTTAATGAGCTAAGAATAACTAAGGTATAGACAGCACCTTGCTACTTTTCCACTTTACATTTCATCTTCGCAATATCCTTGAGACATTATGAATTAGAATATATAGGTATAGAGAGAAAAGTAGATGAATTTGCCAAGGTGATGCAAGTAATAAAATAACAGATTAGGAAGGATGGTCCTGATGAAGAATGAGGACTCTTTTCAGCATAAATCCTGTCTTTCTCAATTTTCAGAAGACTAATTACATCATACTAATTAAATCAGTCTACATCAGCCCAAAATTCTCAAGTGACAAATGAAAAATTTACTTTAATAACTGATACATTATTTTACCCTTTACAAAGTACTCTAGGTGACAGCATTGCTGGGGAAGTGGCAGTCCATGCTGATGAGGTTACAGGGCGAGCAAGCATTCTATTTCAGGAAGCAGGGGAGCAGGTGATATACACATGTGACTGAGTACTCTCTCCGAAGATATGAGTATGCGTGTATGTGTTTGGGCCAGGAAAGCGGCACAGAGTCAGGGCACATGCTCTGCATGTGTGGGGCCCAGTTAATCCCCAGCATGGCACAGTTTATCAGTACTGCGCTCACAGTGGGTCATTAACCTGGTTGGCAGTGTCACTGGAAGTGGCTCCTGAGTTCTCTAAGCACTTTCTGGAAGCCCCATCACTCCAACCACCCAGCCACTGATTAAGGAGTATTTGTCTCTGGAAAGGGGAGTTATATGACTAGAATCAGGAAAAGAGAGGGGATTCCATTTTATTGAAGGCCTTTTGCTACCACTTGATTTAAAAAAGATCCAAGCAGAGCGCTTGAGAACAAGCCTAGTGGGTTGGAGAGATTTACAAGTAGGCGCCTGTCCCATTCTGGCACCGAGCTGGGAGTAGCCTGCAGATTGCCGGAGAAGGGCTCCGAACCCAAACAAACAAACCCAAATGTGTATTAGCTGTTAAACTAGTAACCTGTTGTCATTAAACTGGCTTATAAACTAATATAATAGAATAAATACTGTTTAAAAGAGGTTCTTAGAATGTAGGCTGTTTTTTTCTATCTTCCTAGATTGCACACTTCAGAGAGACCTGGGCAATATTTCATCTTTTCTGGGCCAGGACTGAAGAATCAGTGGGAAAGAGAAGACCCTTGGTAAAATCTTACTGTCAATCATAAAAAAAGCTTTTCTATAAAATATAAAAGAAATGTAACATGAAACTTTTTATTAGTTACAGCCTGTGAGAACCAAGAAAAACTTTTCAAAGATGCCCTGAGCCTTGTAAGCTCTCAGGAATGCCCTTATCAGATGGGTAATAAATATTCAAACTTCTTCCTCACCTACCACTAAGTTCTCCCACTTTGTCACCTAAATTGTTTTGTATTATGTTAGGTTAATTATTAAAGACTGTACAAAACTGCCAAAGATCCTTATAGCTGTTCTTTAGTTCTGGCTCTTACAAGTATTTGGAATTAAAATTTGAATTGTAAATACTTTTGTCAGCTTCAGATTTAACTAAAATACCTGTATTAAAATACAGTTTTTGCCCTGGCTTAATATCTCAACAGCAAGATTAAAAGCAAATCATAAAGATAATCTGGCCAACATGGTTATGAGAAATTTTAGAGAGCTGACTTTTACTGGTAAGACATTTGGTCTCCCAATCCAGTTGCAACACCCCTTGCATAATTCTACAATAACAATAACACCATCACCACTATCACCATCACTGTCACCAATGTCCCTAACAGTGCTCTGTCATCCAAAGGATACCACTGTGCAAATCCAGTGCTACAATTCTGCCTTCTAATACTTGTTTGTCCTTGCCATAGGTATTATATCAAGGCATTTATAAATACTTATTATTTTTTAAATGATGAGGCAACTTTTCATTACACAGAATATATTTTATGATTTATTTTAATTAAAATATTATACTGATTTACCAACCCATATCTCATATTGCTTTTTCTTTTTTGTTTTTGCTTTTTTGGGTCACACCCAGAGGTGCTCAGGGGTTACTTCTGGCTCTGCACTCAGGAATTAATCCTGGCGGTACCTGATGGATCACATGGAATGCCAGAGATTGAACCCGGGTCAACCGCGTGCAAGGCAAATGCCCCACCTGCTGTACTATAGCTCTGGCCCCTCATCCCCTCATACTGCTATCCTTATTGAAAATATTTCCTTACTGAAAATATAATTTTATAAAAAATAATTTTTATTAAATTTAAAGCACAATTTGACTTATAATTTATTTCTGATTACAATAGCATACAAATTTCTGTGAAAAAATTCCTGCTATTTAACAATGTTACTCCCATCTCCCTCTCCTGATAAGATTTACACAAGTTCCAAAGGCTAAGATGCTAACAAACCATACTGGTTTGCAGAATGAGTAACTACTAAAATTGATAGACTTGATTGTTAGGACCTACCACTACATAAGATTACTGAACCAATTACTGGGGATGATGGGTGAGGGAGGAGGGTAAACCAGTGATGGGTATGGTGTTGGAATTAAATACAGTGAAATCATTATTAACAATACTGTCTATTGTACTATTTCAACCAATAAAAAAGCAAAAAAGACTCAAAATTAAAAACAAATAAAATAAATAATGAAGAGCAACCCCAATCATTCCTCAAAAATACATTTTTAGTGGAAAAATAAAAAGAGATCAGAGTATAGACAATCCTGTGCTTACGGAATTTTGTTCATGAGTTTGACATCAAGCCTGAAGATCTATTAGATTCTAGGCATGCCAAGGAATAAAAATAGACATACTCTAATTTATGGCTATAGGCGGCTTGCATCATAGAGGGGCCTAGCAAATCAAATAATGGGGTATGATTCAGGGACAAAGTATTCTGGTTTTCCAGGTAGCTGTGTGTGTTCCATGAGTTAGGAGTTTTTCATAATAATCCTCTAGAAATTACTTTTTTTAAATTTAATATTTTGAGCATTTTCTCATCACTAACTTTAAAACATAACTTCAAAGATAATATTGTGTTTATAAACAACAAGTATGTACTTTATAATCACCTGTTGTTCAGAATTTGTTTTTCTCAGTCTTTCAACATCATAAATTCACTTTTTATAGATCTAAAATAAAGATGAAGAAATGGACCAGAGTTAAAGCAACACTTTTGCTCTCTGTATGACTATTAAAATCAATCAATTTGTGACTAAAAGGAAACTCTCTCTTATCTGCATAGTCATATCTAAAAGTGCAGATAAGTGTAAACATATTTTAGATACAGGAATATTAAGTACAGGAATCTGATCAATAGGGTCAATGAATGAAGTTTGTGCTCACATGTACTTACTAAACATGAACAATTACACATCATTTGTGTTGATCCTCAAATTAAAAAAAAATCAACTCTACTCTCTTTAATTTTGCCTCTAAATATTTTGTGCTGATAGTCATTTTTAAAAAATGACTGAAACCCAATCATGATCAACTTTGTAACTGCAAATCTCATAATTCAATTAAAAAAAAAAGGAAAAGAAAAAGAAAAAAAATCCCTTGGGCTGGAGTGACAGCACAGTGAATAGGGTGCTTGCCTTACAACTGACCCAGGTTTGATCCTCAGCATCCCATATGGTCCCCTGAGCACTGCCAGAAGTAATTCCTGAGTGCCGAGCCAGGAATTACCCTAAGCATCACTGGGTGTAGTCTAAAATCAAAATAACATTTTTTAACTACCAAAAGAAAAATAGATGATTCTTACCATAATTAAGAGCTTCTGGTGCTGTCCATTTAATGGGAATCTGCTTTAAGCCAGAAGATGAATACACACCACCATCCTCCTGACGAGACATTCCAAAGTCACTGATTTTCAGAACATTATTTTCACCTACCAGGCAGTTTCTTGCAGCAAGATCCCTAGGTTACAAAAAGACATAGAAAACACCCATTAAAGCAAATTGAAAGCTGCTTTCACATTTATGACTTCCACACTTTGCATTTTCACATTTGCAATGTATTTATAATGAGGTTAAAAATGCCTATGATTTACCAGTCCTTCCCATCTTTCCTATCATAGGTAAAAGTCACCCACAAGAACATTTGCATATTGAGCAGGCCACATGCTAATTTCCTAGGAACCACATAGATTTCCATTTAAATAGAAAAATACTGATTCTGGGGTGAGGAGAAAAATTCACAGCATCCCTGCTGCCAGCATGGCTTTCCTAGAGCAGTACTTCCAAGATGCAGGTGTATTCTCCCTCTGTGCTGTCCTGTCCAAGGAATCACAGGTCTTATGTGGGTACTGAACACTCACACATAGCCGTGTCCCAAGAAAACAATTTTCAACGTTTGGTTTACTGAAATAGCTGCACGCACCCACTAACCACTGCAGAGTCTGGCAGTAAAGTCCTAGAGCTCACAGGCCAGAGAGATTGGCAACTGTTGCACTGGAGACAGACAAAACTCTATGTAATGCTATGGCTCTGGTTCCCCTCCAACCTGATCCCTTGCATGTATCTATAATTTTGTAAATTCCAGGGAATACCAAGGAAGTCAGCAGAGCCACAATGGAATGGAGGGAGAGACTAGTAAATTAACTCAGGGGAAACCAATGAGTAAGTGATAGATGGCTTTGAATTGATAAACTGAATTTTATTCGAAGTGTGCTGAGAGCATCTGAAGAGTTCTGCCTGGAGGAGTGGCACGGCCTGAGTCAGATCTGGGAGCACTAGAGAGCACCAAGTGGAAAATGGACAGGCAGAACAGGGACCCCTCAGAAGATTATTATTAAGTCCAGGAGAGCCTGCACTAAAAGGACAGTGGTCAGCTGTCAGATTTAGAGAATATTTTAGGTGTACAATCAACAGGATTTCCTGATAGAATAATTATGGAATAGGAGAGAAAAAAGAATTGTAGATGACCTCCAGGATATTTTGAACCTAAGCAACTGAAACAATACTAAAATGAGACAGGGGAGGTCAATAACTTAAGTCTCGAATATAAAGGCTATGGTATTTATGCATATTTATGCATGTGGTAAAAATATTATACAGAATGGTAAGATTTCAGGTATGAAAAAACAGAAGAGTTAATAGAATCCTTCCCTGTCTTCAGAGCTGCATTAGTATTTGGGAGCTAGTAGATGCTCAGTAAATACTGTTCAGTGAATATATACATATAAACATAGGTCCACATGAATACCTTCCTTTTTCTAGAGAGATCCATGCTGGAAGCAGACTGTCTGGTTTATGCCCCTACTTCTAAATTATTTCCTTAAAATGGAGGAACATCAACCAGTTTTACTTTCAACTTTGAAAGACATTTCTGACCATAAAACATGACTCAGGACTTCCAAAAACTTAAAAGTCTAATTATCTGATTGATTTATCACATAGGAGGTAGCCTGCGAAACTGACTTAAATCAACAGTTGACTGGTGACAATAGTATTAACCTTGAAATTGCTGAATATAATTGATACTAGAGAAATTGTATTGTATTTAAGTAGGAAACTTGGAAGGCACTAGTAATGTAATAATGCTCTCTTACAAATCTGCGAAGATCAATTTTTTTTCACAAGGAAAATGATCCAAGGCTAATATTTTATCTGTAACTGATTTTCAGTCTTCATATGTAACACAGACATCCACTGAAAGAGTGAGATGAGGGTCTTATTGCCAGACAAAGTGAGTGGCAGTGATAAGCTTCCTCATTTACCTACTTAACTTTATCTGCTAGAAGGAAATAACATATTGGCACAGGAACTCTATGTCCCACTCACAGCACAACTGGCCACAATAAATCCTAACTCTGACACTTACTGTTTGTATAACTTTGATTTATTAAGCCTCCTTTTATTCATCTACAGAAACATAACCTAGGCCAAAGTAGATAGTCCAAGGGCTATAGTGCATGCCTATTATGAAGATAGCCCAAGTTTGATCCCTTGTGTCACATGGTACCCAGAGCACCACTGGGTGATCTTGGTAGTCCCCGAGTACAACCAGGATGGTCCTGGTGGTCACAGCACTATTAGACCTGAACAGAATCTGTCAGCAAGTCCCAGCATTATGACATTTAGCCAGCAGAGCTGTGAAAACTATCACTCCTGAGCACTGAAGAGTAACTTCTTGGGGCAGAGGGGCTAACCTAGGATTATATGAGTGAATGTTTGTAGAGTACTAGCATAGAATATATGACTTAAAAGAAGTCTTGAGTGATAGCTTGATTGTCATCAGTGTTTCCAGTTGTGTTGATTATTGCCACCCTCGCAATTGCTGCAAGAGGCCCCGGAATAGCATGTATAAATGTCTTTAAAAATAATTTCTAAGACTGTCATGACTGCACAGGTGGCACCTGGAAACTCTTGGCTACAAAGGAGGTCTGTAAAATATGCTTCCAAAGAGGGGAGTTGAAACTCTTCACATTTAAAAAAATTCAAAGTTTAAGTAACAGAGAAGTAGCTGAAACATAATGGCTTCTACATTATTTTCTTAATTTATCAGCAGAATAAAAACTTAGTTGTCATTATCTGTATTGAAATTGGGGTCATTGGTTTTGGAGCAAATGACTTTATATGCTAAGCTTGCTAATGTTTTTCAGCAGGTTATTTCTTTTCTATTATTTTGTTATAATCCATAATACCCACAATGCAGTTTATTGTTTAGAAGGTATCAATGCTTATTGGATGTTTAACTAATATTAGATTACATGTTACTTTTGATCTATATTTAGGGACTTCCTTTCCTTTACTTGCCATCCTATCCCAGAATTGGAGGAGAAAAATCTATTTTCTTTTGGTGTTTGGACCACACCTGATGGTGTTCGGAACTTACTCCAGACTCTGTGCTCAGGACTCACTCCTGATGGTGCTCAAGTGACCATAAAGAAGAGTTAGAGATTGAACCTAGGGTGGAAACATATAAGTAAAATGCCCTACCTTTTGTACTATGTCTCTGGCCTGAAAAACACTGTTTAATACTTTACTGAATGTTATTAAACATTAAATGCACTGATAGTACAGAAAATTAAGAACAATCCGTTGGAGGTAATTTTGGCAGGCTCTGGTTGCATTTGACTTAGTGAGATCTATCTATCTATCACATTTAACTAATGTTAAATATAGTAAAAGAGATTTTTTTGAATGATGAGAATAAGCATATTAAATTTCAGATTCAGATTATCTGTCTTCAGAAATCTACCTTTTGAGTTTTCATTCTGGAATGATACTTCAAGTTCATAATTCATGACTACTGATGATTATAACTAAGATATCAGGATGAAAAATAAAAATTAATTCCCCCAAGACTCCCCAAAGTAAGAAACACAGGTGGATTCTTTAGACAATGTTAAGTGGCAAAGGCAACTGTATGGAAATGAGCTTCCTATTTTAAAGTTCTGTACCTCATTTCCCCTAAAGCCTTTCTCTGAATATAAATAATGGCTTTCAGTGACACAGTAATGGGAGGGGGGTGTGTGAGGGAGGGAGCAGGAGAGCCAGGATCTTCAATATGAAGGAGGCCCTTTTGGGGAGAGTGAGTCATGGCATGAAAAAGCTCACTTGCTTGTGTGCTCGAACTTGCATGTGTTTTGGCTTAAGCCCACGAGTGGGGCAGAAACTAAATAAACTTTTCATTTTTAAAGATGATAATGCTTCCCAAATTGATCTGCAGATTGAAGGAATTCCCAATAAGGATTCTTGCAGGTGTCTTTGTCTATGGTCACTAAAAGTATCTTCCAAGGAGTGAAGGCTGAAAAAGGCATTGTTTGGTGAAGAAAAACTAAGGATAATTTAAGTGCAGAAATATTATTTAAAAAAAGCAATGTATATGACATTTGAAGGGATATACGAGAAATAAGTCTGGTATATCGGAACAGAAAGAAGAACAACATGAGGCCAGAGATATAGTACAAATGGGTAAGGCGCTTGCCTTAAACGCAGCTGAATTAGGTTTGACCCCTGGCATTTCATTTGGTCGCCTAAGCCTCCCTAGGAGTTATTCCTGACCAGAGAGCCAGAAGTAAGCCCCGAGGACTTCCAGATGTACCCTCCATCCCCTTGCTGCCAAAAGGAAAAAAAAGAAACAAGAAAAAAGAACAACGGAAATGATAATTAAGTGAATGTAAAATACTACTCTTCTTAAGTTATTCAAAGGATGACTGGCACAAAAAATACTGTATCTAATTGCTTTTTGATGTATATAAATATTACACACTGGACAACTACAGTATAAAGTTTGGGTGTGAGTAAAGGGGCCTAGTTGTTTGCAAGTTTCTTGAATTTTAGCATAAAATGGTACATCACAACTCTAAACAGTATATGAAAGGGTGGATAATCTATTTTTGTAATCTTTAGAAAAACCACTAAAATGATATAGAAAAATATTCAGAGTCAAGAGATAAAATAAAATTCTAAAATTATCCAGTATCAGATAAGAATCAAATATCTCATTTATGAGTTACAAGAATTAAAAGAAGTCATTACTACTGATTATACATATCTTGAAAGGGTATAGATGGTGAAAAATAATGTTGCAAATTTTAACAGCTTAGATAAAATATATATATATTTTGAAAGTATAACTTTCAAATAACTCAAGAAGAAAACCAAAAAGCTAGATATCTACTACAAGTTAGTGTTAAAATTCATACTTCAAACCCAAATTGTTTCACTAGTAAGTAGTATTATTTAGAGAAGAAATAACATTATACAAACACTTTCAGAAAAATATCATAATTACCCAACTCATAAGAAACCTGTAGAAGTCTAATGCAAAGCCTGAAAAAGAACACTATTTGACAATAAAAGAAAAATACCCTCATAAAGAGTATTAATTCTGTCTAACAATATATACGTCATGATTAAATGTGGTTTATTCTAGCCATGCAAGGTTGGTTAATATCTTAAAGGTAACAT